TCTAATAAAAACTACTACTTAAACAGCCTGTTATAAACATGCTGTTCTTGGAGGTATTTCACATGCTGTGCAGCATAAAATAAGTTTAACATAAGCTATACAAGCTTATAAACTTACTGAAATGATTTTACGCAACAATGAAACAAATGTGTAAATTTACAGAAATCACCTACAGAGGTAAGGAGTTCCCTTGGCTGAGGCCAGACTGAAAGGAGACATCTGAGAAGAAATCATGTATTTCATGTAATTGTGGAGAGAAATGCTCTTTTGTTTAGAAAGTCTCTTCACATAGCAATATTTTGCTCTTCATTTTTTTTTTTAGGAAAAAAATAGTAAAAGAAAAAAAAATGTTTTTCCAAAATCCATGCCTGTAACGAGATTACATAAATATATGTATTTTTTTTTCTAGGTAAATCATACATTTCACAATCATTTCCCAAGAGAAAATGGAAACATCTTTCCTAGTAATTCTGAGTAGGGAAACAGTTTGTTTTAGAAGGAGAAGTATTTCATAAACCATTCCTGATGCTGATGGCTTCGTTTTTGGTCATCTTTGTTCTGCAGTGCTTCATTGCCGTGTGCCCTGTGCAAACAAATAAGAATTATCACATACAGTCTCGCTAGTATTTAATGCATTTCCCACCTCACCCCTGGAAAGCTCCCGATGAAGCTCTTGTGAGCTGGGTGATTCCGGAAGGCACCCGCGCCAGCTCCTAGCGGGATCGGTGCCAGCCGGATAAGCGGCCTCGCAGCGCTGGCAGCGGCACCGAGGGAGGAGGAGAGCAGGGCGAAGCAGCTGCGAGGGAGCCTTTGGGCATCCTTCTCCAGCTGGTCTCTCACAAAGCAGAAAATGCACCCTTTGAGAAGGGGAAGCATTGAAAATCCCCCCAAGCCCAACTGCAATTCAAACCCTAAGAAAATGAAGTACATAGGGCGTGAAGTGTGCAGGAGAAAAAATGGATAAAACAGCTTTAATTGAAACTGTCAATATCTACCTAATTATTTATCTGAAACTGTTCATATTTATCTAAATATTAACTAGTTTTATAATTGATCCTCTAAAATATTCCCTGATTTTAAGCTCTCTGATCCTTTCCTATTAATTTTAATTTTGGTTATAGTGGCCACTCCCAGTTCCATTTATCATTTATTTAAAAGCATAAGTAAGTAGCAGCCAGGCTACACACTGCCCTGCATGCTGCCCTTCCCTACGTACCCTATACAGAATATGTATCCCATATGTAGGATGCCCGGCCCGGGCATCCTGCAAACCATTAAACATGGTTTATGTAAGCTCATGAATTTGAAAAAGCTGCGTAAGCTTTTCTGGGGAAAAAAGTCCCACCTAAGTTGTTGGAACTTAACAGCAAAAAAAAAAAAAAAAAAAAAAAACATATGTGTGACACCACAGGACCATTAAGTATCTGTTAATCGGTCGCTAAACACCCAATCATTAGCCTAGAATCATTCAGAAGTCTTCTAAAATAAGAATATGCCATCTACACTTACCAAAGGAGACAAAGGTAGGAAAAAAAGATACATCTTTAATAGAACCACTGAGCTGTGCCCAAGGTTTTAAATAGCCACGCTATTAATTATTTAAATGTCCAGCTATTAGTGACATTTCTATTCACCTGCTAGTAGCCCCTCTCTCCTTCCTTTCTACAGGGGAGGATTTCAACTGTAAGTTCTGCTGGGCAGTGATTAAAGCCTCCTTCTGAGCAAGAGTGGACTCTCTTTGCAGGGAACTGCATACATGGAGTTCATTGCAGGCCAGGAATTTATATTATTGTTTATCTCCAAATGCTGAACATATTAGGTTGCCTAAAGCATTCTGAGTGCTAATGAAGTTGACGTCTTCAAGTCACTGCAGAATGGACAAATACCTTGTGGCAGCTCTGCTTCCCGAGGCCTTGGCTGCTGGGGAGCCCATTCTGAGGCAGCTCTGCTCCAGGCTTGTAGATTTGGGAATTTGGGGAGCACTTCCTCTTGATCCCAAGTCACAGCTCAAGAAGCTCTTTGCATAGGAGGCTAAATTCGGAACACTGATGACACGGCTGGGCCCCCCATCCAGTTTCTTCTGCTGCATTTTATCATAACAGAAAACTGCATTACATGTGCCTTTTCTCAAACTTAATACCATAAAAAGTCAAAAATATCTAATTCCTAGACATCTTGTGAGGAACACCCAAAAATGAAGGATGACATTTTTTTCTGCAGGCATTTAAAATAAATTCCCCTCTTAGGGTAGGCTGAGAGGATCCACACGTGAGGTGGGTCCAGTTCAGACAAGTTTGTGCTGATGTTTTGGATAGGTCAAAGCTGGCAGCTTTGCAGTGGTCCAAAGGCCAAGCTTGCAGCAGGCTGCCCTCTGCTTTCTCCTTGCTCCTCACACACAGTGTAATCCAGGGGGCTGCAATGGCAAGGGGCAAGTCCCAGGCAGCCCAAATCTCATTCATAGTTTTGTTTGATACAGCAATATCCCAAATAGCAGCGTCCAGGTATCTGCAAGCAATGGCTGTGCTTACCCCAGTGAGGGATCAAGCTCTTCTTGGAGAGCTATAATGTGTGTTAACTGCTTCCATGTTGCTGAGTATCTGCTTACATATTTCCACTGAATTTACATTATGTTCAGCACCTGATCGTGGGTTTGTTTACAGTAAAGAAATCTACTGAATAACATCACCACATAAAACGAAGAGGACCTTTACTGTCACAAGAATATCTGTATGATTCAAATAGCAATAGAATACCACAATCTGCAATTTTAATTGAATCACCTGTCTTACCTTCATGGAAGGAGTCAAACATCCCAGGTTAGGGTTGAAAGAAAAGGATCGATTCCTATAGGATTCAGTGTTGGCCAAAAGTGAATGCTGAAACTTCCTTCCTTCCTGAGGGGAGATAAAACTATGTGTGTCTCCCTGCTGTGGAAATACACATTTGTTAGAACATTCCAAAGCAGAAAAAGTACCCATCAGAAACAGTGAATGAAGCCTTCCAGCAAAATCCAAAATATGCATTATATATATATATATATAAACCTCACCACAAGTTGCTCGATAATCTCTTCTCTCTCGCTTATTTGATCTTGCAAGCAGCTTATAAGGTGTTTATCTTCTGCTCTGGACTCCAGCTTTCTTGACTTTTCTTCTAATCCTTTAAGTCTGTGCCAAAGAAAGAAGGCAAACTAGAAAAGTCTTCCTCAGAACCAGGTTCAGGAGATACCTAAGCTTCATTCTACCATAAATGCTAAATTACTATAATTTTTAAAATGTAGGGATGTAGTCACGCCCTTATGATAAAACAATATAGAGATATTCTTAAATGGACATCTCTCTATATATATAAAACACAGAAGTGTAGACTGTTGCAGAATTTCAAAATAAATTGCCAGCCTCGTGTAAAGTCCTGTCCCTGGTCTAAACTAATACCAGGCTTGCACACATATTGCTAGGAATACGGAAAAAAAGACTTATGTCACACTACTAATACATGTCTGATATCCACCTGTTTGTTCTCTTTTCTGACTCAGTAAGTTCAGAAGCCACAGACTAATCTAAGATACTCTGGATTCTGTGGTAGGGGCTGCCCCTGCAGCGTCTGAAGCACCCCAGAATGGCTTCATTTCAACAAACACTTCAAAGTGCATCTGTGTCCTTGAGACAGTGGAGCCTGCAGTTGGGGAATATCCTGGGATATTTGCAAGGGACTGAGAATAAGCAAGAGCTTAACCTCAAAGATGCTGCTCAGCTGAACAAAACTAACTGCAAAATCATGGATTAAGGTCTCCGATATCACCAATGGCAGAGATGATTACACACTATATATAAATCTACACACTATAAATCCATCAAATATAGTAAGCACAATAATTACAAACAATACTCATTGCCAACATGAACCACAGCTTATTTAAATGACTTACTCAGTCTCTAAGGAGGAAATTTTTGCTTGGAGATGTGCCCGAGTGCTCCTGAAATCAGATAACATGTTTGCGATTTCCTTCTGGTGATTCTGTTTCAGTGAGTCGAGTTCTTTATTATGCTTCACTTGGAGGTCTTCTATCAGTAACCTTTCAGATTGGTATTAAAATAAAGCTGAATTCTCAAGCTTGAAAACTAGTTTATTATCATTGATCAAAGCATGCACTTTGGAAGCCCTTTATTCACATCAAAGGTGGCTAGTGGGGCTAAGCTCCTGGCACCTCCTTGCTGGTTTGACTTTGACACTTGAGTTGGAGTCTGAAGCAGAACCACTAGCAGAGAGGAAGGGGGAAGTTACATGGACAAGAAATGCTTGGGCTTTAACCTTTCAGAAACGGAGGGTCTGTTTTATAGGATGTCATTGTCTAGTGAGTGCATTCATCTTGAAGGTCAAATGTGACAATAATGTATTGTGGGAAGTCACTTAGGCAGCATTATTTTGAAACATCTGGATTTTGAGATGAGTTCTATATTACATGACTAGTTGCAGGTTTATTCCTCACATCATTTCAATTAATATTTCCTTCTCAAATGCTTACTGTAGTAGAGCTACACCATCTATCTGCTGTGAACACTATCTCCCAACCTAGAACAACAGCTTTTTTTTTCTTTTTTTTTTCTTTCAGGCCTTTTAGACATCAACTCTGACATGAATATTTTTTTCCTTTTTGAAAAAAGATTTTTTTTTCTTATTCTTTCTATTCTCATTCTGCCACTGACTGGCAGACAGCAACAGAATTACTGCGGCCACTTCCAGTCTGCAGAGAGAAACTGTGTCCTTCCAGTGCTTTTCTGAAGGCTAACTTTAAGAGTATTCCCTTAAAGATGTTCTTTTCAGAAATCCTTTTATATGCACTCATTGAGTAGCTAGGATGATGTATTCTGAGCATTACTCAGTGCAGAAGTAAACTGAAAGGTTCCTGGGTGCCTCAGGACTTCCATGTTACAATCTACAAATTTCAAAGCATCCCAAGGCTGTACAGATGCTTTGAACAGCGAACCCCAAATTTGTCTCTCATGTAAAAGGTAAGGCCTGCCCTTTTTCTGTAGGGATGTGGGGAAACTGCTCTACTGTGACACAACCCACGTGCTGCTAGATTGGGGCTGCAGTCACGGGGATGTGAGCTGCCTTCTACTAAGATGGCCACAATTAAAAATGTAAAACCTGATATCTATTCTCAGAGACTTCTTTTTTTTTTAATAGATCAGATATAAAAAATAGGTATTTCAATATAATTCAGTGTTCTTGGGGTTTGTTTCCCAATCCCTTTCAAATAAGGGCAATTAAGCAGCTTTTTTTTTTTTCCAGGTGATTCCTGTGGGGCTTATTTCACTGGACATATTTGTGTGTCATGTGTAACTTAACAGCTTACTTCAAACATCATTATGGCTGGAGAAAAAAATGTGATACTGCTGCTTTTGCAAAGCTCTCAGGCTCTAAATGAGTATCTGTAGAAAGAACAGATTCTGACACTCATCACATTTATAACACCTCTGATGCCAACATTATTATTACCTCTCTAGACAGTAAGTACAATTCAAGCACGAATTTAAGGCAAACCTTCTGTGCTGTTTCTCCCTGTCCTGAAGCTGTGCAGCTTCTTGCTTCTGCGACCCCAGTTCTGCACTGAGTAGCTCCATTGTGTCCTTCAGAAGTAAATTCTCTTCCCTGAGACCAGAAACTTCATGCTGGCTTTTTTCCAGTTCATCGTGAAGAGATCTGATCTGGCTCTGGCTACTTCCTTCCTAAGAAAAAGGCCAAATTTCATTATTCACAGCCTCTTATTTAACCAGAAGAGTGCACTGGACTTCTGTGCATAACTGTTCAATTGTGTGTGCAAGCCAAAATCTGTGACCAAAACTTCCTCACCACTTTATATTCTCCATAAAATTTATTTTATTGTAACAATTGCGCTGTAGATTATGATTCTTAAATGGAAAAAAAAAAAACCCTGCCCACACGGAGAAGCTGATAAACACCACTAACATTCTGAAGTGTGACACGAGGGACAGAAACCCCTTCGGTTTCTGCAAGGGAGTGTGTACCCCGGCACGCGTGGCTGACTTGCCTGCTGCTTCCCCAGCGCTCTCGCGGCGCGCAGCTCCTCCTGCAGGCCTTGGATCTGCTGTCTGAGCCTCGTGCACACTGTCTGCTGCTCACAAAGCTCCAGCCTTGCACATCCTGGCAACAGGAAGAAGGACTAGCATTAAGGAAGCCACAGCCAGGCGGATGGGAGGGTAGGTGTTGGCAAAGTAGATGAAGACACTGGTACATTAGATTTTGCTTTGACCCTCAATTCTTTTGCCATTGAATATCATAAATTTAATTGTGGAAAAAAAATTTTAAAAAGACACACAAGATATCTGGTAAAACTTGGGCCTTCTGTTACTACTTAAATAACTCATTTGAGCAACAGTATACAGATATTGGGCTATAACAACAAAGGCTCAATATAGGAATCAGGGGGAATTTTGTCATTATTTTTGCAGACTAGAAGATTTTAACCGCTTTTTCTAATCTCGACCCACCTCATTCCTTGTTAAGACACTGGTGCTTCACGTAAAGCCACCACGCAGGCTCAGCAGAGCTCTGCTCATGCCAGAGAAGCACAGCACTTGGGCAAGCAGCTGTCAGATACTGCCACTGCTCAATGGGCAACGTTTGGAGATGGATCAGGCAGAAGGTGAAACAAGGCTTTCTCTCTGATTCTTTTCCATAATTTATCTATGGAATATAAAATCTGTAGGTAGCAACCATTTTTTCTAGCAAGTGTAATTACTGAGGAAAAGCACAGTTGCATCACTAAGCAGATTCAGGGTTTATACTTAAAGTACTTCTACATTATTCTTTTTTTAATTAAAAATATTATAAATGAGTTCTAATAACCTGAGTTCAAGCCTAGAGATATTACAGGTCCTAGTAATGGAGTGTTCTATTTAGAGCTGAAGAGCTTAGGGAACTTTATTCTTTTAAACCAAATAAACAATGCATAGGGAGTCACTATTCCCTACTGCAGGAGCCAGAAGAATAAATTTGATCCACATATAGTAATTCTTCACACAGAACAAAATAAAAGACACATATTCTGACTACAGTATTCCAATTTAATATATCTGTAAGTGCATACCTGTGTGCTGTGTACCTGACTACTCTTCCAGCAGCTCTCTGCTGCTGACAGCTGACCTAGGTTAACAAAGAATGACAAGTGTGTGCTGCTGAAATGGTGGAGTATGAGAAAGGAGGCTCACACAGACCTGAGTTCCCAGAAGCTGGGGAAGAAAATGAATGGGATAAAAGTCAGTCCTTCTCAGCAGGTAACCAAGCAGTAGGAGCGGGGTATGACATGAGACATTATACCTAGCAACAGAGTTTGCTGCTTCTGTATCTGCTCCAGTTCATCATGTAATTCTTTTTTTGCTCTCTCCTCCAAGGTTTGTATTTCCAGCTTAGGAGACTGATGTTGGGTCTTGAAAGTCTCATTAAATTCCTTTTTCAAACGCTCTTCTGCCTCCTGTAAGCAAACCTCCCCCCAGGAAACAAAGGAGTCATTTTGGTATTTTACTTTATGTCAGGATGAATCTGGCTTTTTATTGCAGAATTTTGATTATTTTCATCATCACTTTAAATTACCCTTCATCAACACAAAAACAAATACTGAACTGAAATAAAAAAAAGGAGAAATTCTCCCAAATACACTAGATTAGCTGTGTATCATGAAATAATAATGGTGAAATTTATGCACTATTTGGTATTAGAGAGATGTTTTATTATTCAGCACACAAAGCCTCCTATTTGTAACGAGCCTCTGCATGTTATTAATTATCACTTGGTGCCAGACAGATGCTTTCATCTTTCCCGCCTGTGTCTTCCACTGTCCGCAGAAATGCAGCATGAAGTACAGGGCAACTCTGTGGCTGCTCTGTAAGTAAACTCTCATCCTCTCTTGCATTGCTACCAGCTTACTGCCTTCAGCTTGCTTTTATGAGCTGAAACTCAGAAATGTCTTCTGAATACAAAAACAAAAGAAAACATTCTTCTCAGGGTGGTTTTACTACATACATTTTAAAAGGAGATTTTTCCTAGGCTGGATGATTTCAACATGGACATCTGAACTTCATGTCAAAATCATATATAGATTCTTTTTTTCCTCAAAAAACCCCCCTTTTAGAAGACATACAGTAAGAACCTTAATATATTAACATTTTGTCATTGAAATACATTTGTACTTTTAAAAACTTTAGTTATCCACTTACAGAAATGATTTCTTGAAGATATTTTTAAATCAATACACATCATTATGCGAGTATATTACACTTAATGTAAACTATTCCATATATAAGCTAATAAAGTATGAAAAAGAAAAAAAATGAGAGTCCTGTTAATGGCACACTTGTATCATCTCAGCCTAAATGTACCAGGTGGACTATATTATCCTATGCAACTGTTCCAGACACACTGTGGTATAAGTTCAAATATTAAGATAAAATTTTTAAAAAAGAAAGATGATGAGCTCTCAAAACCATGGGATATTTCACTATAAGCAACAATGGCAACTCTTCAGTAAGATAACTGGAAATAACTGAGTTTTGATAATTAGCTCTTAGCAAAGATGATTTATCCCACAACAAAGACTTTTTTTCTAAAAAAAAAAGTAGCTTGTAAACTGACCTTGAGCTCCCGATTTTTGCTTTTCTCTAACATTTTTAAGATTTTTTGATGTGATGCCTCCAGCTGCAGCTTAACATTCTGATTTTCTTTAATGGTGTTTTGAAGATCCTGCAAAAGTTTCTCTTTTTCTTTGATGGACTGTAGGTCATGTTTCTTCAGTGACTCTTTGAAATTGCTTGCTTGTTGGTCTAACATTTGCTTCAGCTGAGCCACCTTCCAGAAAAAAAGAAGTCAGCAGGACAGGATTAATGGTTGCACTCACAGCGAAGTGGAATGATGCACACTGGAACACGTTATGAACCTGCGTTACTATGTAACATGCAAAGATCCGTGTTTCAAACAAACTCCTTTGTTTCAATGAAGAATAAAGTGGGATTTTTTTTTGCAGGGAGGGAGAAGGATAGCTCATGTGTATACTCGGAATAGTTTTAGTCAACTGAAACAATAAACAAATTTTTAAAGCTGAAATTATTCATATTGATCTTTTAAAGTAAAAATCTTTGAATTCTTGATTTAAAACATTTCATTTAGAGATTTAAATTGGATTAATTTTGAAAATTACAAAAGGACCTGAAATTAAATATTTAATTTTAATATTGGTTAGAATTTATCATTTAAAAGTTCTCTTGAAGGTTCTTTCTCAGTCTCTTTGATTTGATTATTGAACAACAACAAAAAAGTCAATTATTTGTACATGTTCAATTAGAAGAACAGCTGCTACTGCAGAACGTTTTGAAGTTAGAAGCAAGAAAAATACAGCAATTTCTACAGCTCTTTTAGGATGCAAACATCCTTCCAGGAGAACCTGGGGAAACAATGACATCCCTTTTGTAAATACTGCCTGCTGTCCACCAGGTTATTTGCTTAAAATATTTCTTTTCCAATCATCTCCATCTCCTATGCACGGGACGTAGTTCAGCCTGCACACACAGACCAGGAGGCAGAGCTAAGACTGGAGCTCTAAACTGCAGAGTACATTTGTAAAGCTGTAAACTGCAACTACTGAAAACAGGAGCTCTGCCCATCACTGATGTTTTATTCTTCCATCTCTTAGCTTAACTGCTAAACACAGTAGATACTTTTCTGACAGCTAGTAGAGAAGTAACCTCAGGTATCTGTTTAGAAGAACTAAATTCTGAATTCTGTTTTGGGAGGCTTTTTGGTGTGAGTCTGTTTCCTGGGTTTGGTGTGCTAGGTTTTCTACATTTTCAGCACAAACTTAAAATTGCCGCTCTGCTTATATTTGCCATTCCAAGCACCCGCACTGCTGAGAAGCCGCCTCTGCCTCACAGGCCCCGCAGGCTTCACAAGGCCAAGCAGGGCCGTGGCTGCTGCGCCTGGGCTGCTAGGCCTGCCTGTGGGCTGTGCCACTGCTCTTGCAAAGTCTTTTGTCCCTCGCCTTTTATTTTTGTGAGCACGTGAGAGAGGATGGTATGTCTTTCATTTCTGATTCATTTGTACCCAGTTAGTCACTGGTGGACCCTGCTCATCACCACTGAGCATCTATTTCAGCTCCCCTCTGAGCTCTCTGGCAGGGCTGCTCACAGAGGGCGATGCCAGTGCTATAATTAACGTGGCTTTCTTTCCCCAGATGGGGTAATGGGCTTTGGTTTGAACTTGCCAAATTCCTCAGCTATAATATTAGCATTTCACATGTTCAGTGATCTGCAACAACATCTGTAATCTAGACACAGCAGAACTCTGCAAGCAGATGCAAATCTTGCTAAAATGCTCTTTACCAGAGCTGCCAACTTGCCCAGCTAACTGTTTACTATTTGGTGACCAAATCAAGCAATCCATAAAACTTTTATTTAAGTCAACCCAAAAGAAACATTCCTGAGCATATATGTCAAAATGAAAAATTAAAATGTGTTTCTTTCAAACTGCATTCAGTGTTTTGGAAACTTAATTTATATCATTTTTTTTTTAGAAGAGAAATCATTTTATTCACAGAACACACTTAATACACAAGTGAAGTAGCAGCAACCAGAGACAGACACTCTGCAACACCCTGTAGCCCAGTGACAGGGTAAATCCTTGAAAGGTGAGAAAGTTGGCAGCAGGAAAAAAATCAAGTGCAGGCCTCCCACACATCATGGGAATTCTAGGTAGGTAACTAAAAATTAAATAAACATTCCTTCATCCAGTGTTTTGTGAATCAATTTCTTTATCTTGTTCTCTAAGTGCCAGAAAATGAAACATTTAGTAACTTATGAAACACTAAAATAATATTTTTTTCACTTTCACTTAAGTTACCCAATAAAATTGATTTGAATTAACACATTTTGAAATAGCAACCAGCTTCAGCTCCCTCAAGCTGCAAATTTAAACTAACAAATGATGCACTAAGAACCATTTACTCAGCTCTGTTAGCAAAGAAAGCATTACCGATCAGAGTCTCATACAAGCAGGAAAGCTGCATTCACTTTGCTTGAAATCTCTCTATATGTACATCATACTTTCTACCTAAGCATTTATTAAATACATTGAAAAATGTGGAAATAAATTCAGACTTCTGTCTTGTCACCTTCAAAGATCCCTCCTGATCTAAATCATATTATAATAGCCTGAGCTCCAATAGCTTTTTTTTTTTTTTAAGATTCATTTCATCCAATTAAATACAAGTAAAATTATCTGTTTGCATAGTGAAGAAGGGAAGAATAATTGCTAACTATTATTATCAGTAAAAAGCATATTATTTAATATTTTTGTGGGATAGGCTCTATCTGTAGCCTGGATGCACTCCCAGAAAAGGCAGATGCCGGAAAACCTTCCTCCTGCTGCTTGCCAACCATTCATTGGTTTCCAGAGCTCCTGCCATTTTTATGATTTTCTGAAAAATAAATGGCTAACTGGTCTGACAAAAATGACTACTTTGGCCTTTACCTTCCTTTTTTTGGGCATTTACTTTGTCTTAATCCCTATTGAAGAGCAAGCCAATGCTTTCCCATACAAACAAAAAGAAAAGCTGATTTTTTCAGGCACTACAGCTCCTCAAGTTCCTCATAAAATTAACATTTAATGTGAAACAGTTAATGCTGCATGGTCCCCTCTATCAGCATATGGGACATAGACTGCTATTATACTGTATTTCTGCCTGGTCTTTCTGAAAGAAACTGGGTGAATAGTCTTTAAAAAGAAAGTACCAAAATGATAGCTTGTATTTTTTTTTCCAATAAGAAAGACTGGAAATAGGGAAAAAAATGTTCAGAATATATATTTTTTTGAAATTTAAATACTCACCTAGGCAGGGAAAAACGAAAAGTGTATATAAACTTCAGCTGTGGTCACAACACTATTAACCTTCCAAACGCTCTTCTTTTTCCATGCTGTAAGAAGAAAGACTTCATAAAGTCTTTCTTTTCACAGTATTAGGCATACACACATTCTCCATCATTAATACTACTATTTCTAATACATGAGAAGTTAAGAAACAACATTTTAAATCTCCTTAAGTTCCTTCCTCCTGCCTTTCAATCAGAAAGGCTTTCCCATCCACCACTGTAAAACTTTTTTTGGAACATTTTGCAATATCCAGGGATTTTATTGTGGTAAATTATTTCATGTGAAGTCACATTACTTGAAAATTTAACTTAGCTCATTTTACTATTAACAGCCTGTAGAAACTGCAATATCATATGATCTTGTGTTTTAAACACTCTTCCTGCTACAAAACAAAACATCTTGAAAACAATATTCTCCATAAGTCCAATGCTATTATTTATTCGAATATACCCACTAGAATTGTATGAAGAGGTCTTAAATATTTAGCTAATACCTATCCAGTGCATAAACTCTAAGCAACAATATATTTGGAGGCTGTACTGAATTATTTGCAAATTTATGTTATGTTTATGGGTTATCTTTGCACTTCCCTTTCCTTAAGGTGGCTGATTGTTTCCCATTGTCTTACAACTAATGGAAAAATGAACAACCATTACTAAAAGCTAACAGATAAGATTTTAAATACTTTTTTTTTTTAAAAAAAGATTTTAAATAATTTTTTTTTCTAACCATAATTACTATCCTTCTCTTGGGAAGGATATTTTGATTTTTTGAAGCAGCAACTTCCAACCTCAGATAGTCCATGGGCAAAAAAACTGGGCAAATATCATACTATGCATGCCTCCACATTTGGCTCTCCCTTTTGATTTCTGCTTTGATTATTTTAATTCACTGTGACAGCAAGTGCTGTGAATACTTTAAGCCTAGCTTATGTCTGTTCTCTCCATAAGTGTGAAATCTCAAAGGCAAGACCTAGAGATGGAATCAGAATATTTTGACTTGTATCTTTTAGGCAGAAAGTTCTGAGTTTCTGAATGCGCTGTCAGGTTGCTAGGGGCTGAATTCACATAAAAGACTTAAAACAGCCTTTTGATGTATTACAGAAGAGTCACCATATTTGAGAGTGTGTTCAGAGTCAAAACAAGGCACCCACATGTTACAGGGTTTTCCTCATACTACCATCAGTAACATGTTACAAGAAGTAGGAATAACAAAAAAAATGTGTTTTACAGTTGTCTCTAGCCTTATTTCACAGTTTTTTCAATTAAATTCCCAGTTAAGTACCTTCCTAAGCCTAAGGCAATTCCTGACAGATATAGTCCCAATAGATGTACCTGTGCTGCTCCTATGATTATTAGGTGTCCAGTGGTGTCTATGGACCTTCCTCGAGGTTCTGCAACTGCTGCACTAGTGCTGCATTTCAAAGATACAACATGAGAAGGCAGTATCTGTCCTTCCATGCTATGGACCTTGAAATTCCAGAATGCCCTCTTCAACACATGTGAAAGAGATCCCATAGTGCAAATGCAAGATACTGGAGGGCTCTAATAAACTAGAATTCAACCCGCACAGGTCTCACATTCTTCCTTCCAGGGGACCAGATAGGTGAGAATTCATTTTATTTATCCAGAAGTCTCAATAATATGGAAATACTGCTGTTCTGAAATGCATCCCACAGAGATCAAATTACAACGATCTGTCTGCTCTGCACAGTGCTCTTGCTATGTTGACCGAACTTAAAACATGCCTTATGCAGCCAAGGAGGCTATTTTTAGATCTCAAATAGTGTTCTTGCTCTGTTAACCCAACCAAAAATGTGCTTTACGCAGCCAAGGAAGCTATTTTTAGATCTGAATTTTATCCGGATTGGAACTTGATTAGTGACAGCACACTGCCTAACCCTTGAGGCGGAAGCTCCAGGCTGGGAATCACACCGTGAGCAAAATGTGATGTTGTACAGTAAATGGTGGCTTGCTGGCTGTCAACACTCACATATGTATGGAAGGAAAGTATTAAAATGTCAAATGATCTCACTTTCCTGGCGATAGTGCCATGTAACAGCTTCAGAAAGTATCCTACGAAGCACCAAGAAGAATGCAAGCACCACCACCCGTGCAGCAGAGAACATCTCCTCCCCTCCAGCAAACTCGGAGACTCTGGCACATCAAGATGTTTCTTAGAGCCATCTGTTCATCCTTATGATGGTGCTATGAATATAACATATAACACAATACATACTATTTTATATATACCCAGGTGTCAAATACGGTTTCCCAGCACCCCTTGCATTTGTACATGTGTGATATACAGGCATGCATACCCTGAGCTCATCGTACTGGATTGGGAGTTAGGAAACAGTTTTGTTTGTTTGTTTGTTGTTTGTTTTCTCTCTCTCTGCCTTAGTTCTTCCAGTTGTAAAACCTGAACAACAAGGCTTCAAATCATATATTTTTATTTTTGAGCTCTTTCAATAGGATATGCTGTGTGCATGCATATATGCAAGATTAGGACATCAGAGTGTGCCAGTATCCCTTCTTTCAACCTCCTCCTCTCACTCCACCCCCCCCACCCTAGTGTTATTTTTAGGCATTACTTAGGGATACCAGTACAGCATGGTATATTTTCAGCTTTAAGTGCACTAAGATGATTTTGTGGAAATATGCATTTTAGGGGACTTTGGAATGGAGTAAAGATGACTGATTTCTGAGTACTCATGTGTGAAGAATTCCCACTGGATAGGTCAGCACAACTTAGGTTGAGAAGAAAAAAAGTGCAGCATGCAGAATGTGTAGCAAAGACCAAATAATAATTAAAAACAAACGAACAAAAAACAGGACATACCCAGAACTTTAAGAATATTAAACAAACAAAATAAATTCTGGATTTCTAACCAGGAAATGGATAGAATGTGAGAATGCAGTTGTTTGATACAAAGCCTGCTCTACAAGAAAGTGGAAAGAGGAAGCCAGCAGGTGAGGTGGGACAAATCTTTACTTAGCGCCCAAAAAGTATTCATCAGTCCTTTTCCTGTTTTTGAACAGTCAAAAAGAGTCTATTATGGCCACTCGGAGTCCATAGATCCCAGCTGAAAAGATCTAGAATTTCTTCTTTTGTTGCAATGCAAACTCCTACTGACCATCCAGCTTGCTAGAAACAAAGTGGATTAGAAGTAGTGAAGATAGAAAGTAACTGAAATTTTAGCCTGACCCTTAATACAAGGGCTCCCCATAATCCAGTAGTCCCAGGATGACCTACCTAATTCCTGTTGCAGTTCATCACTTTCTTGAAGTAGACTGAAGATATGTTGCATATTTGGGAGTAACCTGATTTTGCTTGATAAACCCTTGGAGCCTCCAACCCTTGGTTGGCAGGAAAAAAAACTGAATGACAAATTCTTATGCTGCAACCGTATTCATTTACCCATAACTTCTCAGCACTGACAATCACAAATCATTTCACCCTGCTTCTGGAAAGGAAAGGATTTTTCCTTTCTTCTGGAAGGAAAAATAAACACAACACTCAGCATCATCAGAACTTTTCACCATGAGTGCCCTGTCTTCAGTGCTTTAAAGCAGTTACTTTAGAGATTATCCATGAAGTAAAAGCTTTTAAATGACCAGAGGCAAAACCTTCACATGAGCACACTAAAGAAGAGGAAATATCCTGTACAGAAGATTTTTAAGCAGACAACATTTGCTTACAAGATCTGAAAAACAAATGGTCTGAAGAACAAACGTTCTCCTGAGAGAGAAAATGTCAGCAGTTGTCAGCAATCTTAAAAGGTACATTGTTTACCTAGGTAAATAATTGCCTTGTAGAGGTTCTGCTTTTTGTTCTGACACACAAACATTTACCCACCATGCAGCCTGTGCTGCGCTGATACCTCAGTGAGTGCTATTCCTCCTCTGCTCTCCACACAGCAGCGCTTACAGGTGGATAATCTGATACCAACACATCTCCCCCCCGAAGAATCCATAGGCATGTAAACACTAAAACGAAGGATCAGATTTGCATTGAAATTTAGGTGTAACCTTAGCAAGGAATAGCATAGTATAAAGGCTATTTTGCCCTCAAAGTAGCTTTGGGGCCAGAATACTTCCTTTATTTCAATCTTGATCTTAGGAACATACAGGGAGCACAACTAAAACTAGTAACGGTATATACTAAATTACTGGACCTGCTGCAGGTGGCCTGCCATCACACAAAGCAGTTATATATCCTTTATTTTTCCCTTCAATCCTGCTCACAGGAGGGGTTGGACTAGATGAACTCCAGTTCTCCCTTCCAATCTACATTATTGATTATTCTGTTCACTCTTCTGTCATTGCTGGGGAAGTAGCCTGGGCAGCCTGTTCCTGTAGCCTGTGCCTGTTCTCTTCAGGTCTTTTTTATGTGGATATGTATGTATAAAATATATAAAATGTATAAAATAAGCAAGATCAAAATAAAAATGCATTATACTTGGCTCAGAGATAATAAGGGTTGTTCACAGACAAGCACCTGGCAAAGCTCTGCCTCTTGCAAAGGGAAGATTCATCCCTACTGAAGACAGTGCTCCTGTGCCAGAGGAAATACATGAAGGTACCACAATTCCCACCTAGTAGCTCTACGCAGGCTATTAGAAATCCTAAATGCAAGCCCTGGAGCACTCCGGGGGCAAGGATCTTGGATTCAACATGAAATACCAAGGACAGGGATTTACAGAGCAGAACATGGGGCTGAGGAGCTGACAGGACTGAGCAGACACGCTGCGTGCTCACGTAATGTATACCCAGTTATTTAAAAGATACCTATATCCCTGTACACTGAGAATAACCATCCCGGCATACAAGCATCCAGACAAAACGTGCTGAGTTCTTTACTGTAGAAAGACTTAAATGAGCAATTTCTAAAAAGTGATTTGTGTTACAAGCTCATTAGTGCGCTTGTTCCTCCTGCTTGTGTCTGTTTGCTGAAAAACAAAACAAAACAAAAAACTAGTACATTTTCAGACACTACAAATGGGAAAAAAAGGGGAAAAATACCCATATGAATGTTATACTTTATATAGCACAATGACTCAAGAAGAATTGAAACTAACAGAAAAAGAACCTAAAAGTCTACTGAAGGCAAAAGAGCTTTCTGAAAGGTTGGCATGATACTAGTAATGAGTGCTGCAGACAACAGGGACGTGTATTCTTTGCAGCTCATAGAAAAACAAAGGAAAATATATGAGCAGGTCATAGTTTAGAATCAGGGTAATGGTTGGGTAGCAGTAAAAGGATGGAATCAAACAGAGAAGCATGAATGTTGCAAGGGAGAAATTAGCTTTAATTTCTCCTGTAAGAAAATGAGAGGATATAATGGTAGCTGCAATTAAAACCAGAAAATCACATACTTGCAGCATTACCACTGCATCTCTAGCAATTGAATCTCCATAGCTCAATTTTTCAATCTGGAAAATAGATATAATAATTCTCAAACATCTGCCATGGGATTTAATTATATCAAATGATATAAATAGCACTAGTTATGAAAAATACTGTTGTTTTAAGTTAGGAAATTTCTTATTTACTTGAATATTCATCTGTGACTCTCCAAGAAAAGATGGCAATAAATAATAATATTTATTTCCTAAAAGCAGTAAATGCCTTAAAAATACCTTTAAAAGTGACTGATTCAAGTTTGATCTGATTCACATGAAGATGACCTTCAATTGGCATCATTTTAAGAAAACCTGTTCACATAAACACAACCCCATGTAAAAGGGAAGCCTTTTCATGAGGCTTATATTTGACAGGGGAACTGTGTGCCTTCAAGCACCGCATCGTAACATAGCGACCAGGCACAAGCACTTTCATGATCAGGTAGAACAGATTAGCCCTGAGAAACGGGATCGTATATATGCATAAACTCCAGTAGTTTCACAGAGGAAAATGAATGATTCTGAAGAACACTTAACACAAGTCCTAGTCTCCAAAATCCAGAGGGTGCCACAAAAATCATCATTCAGTGATAGGAGCTGCTTGCTTGTTCTCACTTCTCAACTGATCAGCAACAGACTTTATTCTTGAAATGATGGGGAACTCCTATACCTACAGCATTCAAACTGGGAAACAACACAGAGCTGAAGAAACCTTGACTGACTTACTGCCACACTAACTGCTCTGATCGAGCATGTTTGTCCTGAAGATGTCCGACAAACACACAAGTGCTTCAGGAGACAGAAGACTAAGTTCCTCCTTAGTTTATGCCCCAGTTTGGCAAACTGCTTAGACACGCACTGAGGTGCGAGTTTCACTAACTATTGAAGTATGCACTTAAAACCAAACAAGTGCTTCAAGGTTTTCCTTGAATGGATTTCAGCTCACATGTGGATTCTCTACTGCACAGAGACATTATGGACTGCCTTGAAGCCTAAGTTCATGCCACTTGGCATGAGAAACAAAAGCACCAGAGAGAGCTGTTTTCACACAAGTTAAGTTCTTTAAAGAATCTCCTTAGCCAACTGATGCCACTGCTGCAGTGGCACCGCAACAACAAAAATTGAAGCTCAGACATTTAAGGGTGGATATTGCACAGGCAACCCATCTTAATCCACAAGACAAGCACCCTTTGCAACTGAACCTAAATATAGACATACACACCTGTATGTATTTATAGTTTATAACAAGTGCTCATCTAATTGAAATGCAGTCCACATCAATCACATCAACACCTTGCAGAATTGGCTCCTCAGCCTAAATAACACAAAATGTTGCTTAATCTTCACATCATAGATCTATGGAAATTTAACACAGAAATTGGAGTACAGAATACATTATGCTTGAGGAAGAACCTTATATTAATCATTCTAAATGTTACATCCAAGGCTTGCAAGCATAAGTGTTGCTAAGAAGGTAGTTTATCACATCAAGGGTAAATTCACCTTCCTGCCTGAGAAGCTTTTCATGGAAATAAATCAGCTTTGATTTTGCCCTCCCCCGCACACACACTTTTTTTTTTTTTTTAAGAAAAATCCTTGCATTTTATGGTAATTCGAAGTGCCTCCAGTGAGGATAATTCAAATGATGTCACTACGACCAATAAGATTAAAAACAGATGAATTAGAGCATCTATTAATAGAAGCACATTCCTACCTTCTGTATTTTTTTTCTTTCAACTTCCACAAAAGTTTACACTGACTTGACTTCCTTGGAATGTTTCATTACAAGGTCTTCCAACACATTTAACAGTTGTCCTTTCAGGTGTATTTTCTCCTCCTGGGACTGATGCTTGCTTTTTCAAATCCCTTATGTCTTTTATTCATGTTGTGTTTTCAGTAGCTACAGCTTCAGCAGGCTGTAAAACACTGTCTATTTATTTATGACAAAACCACAGTAGAATTCAGGGGTCCTAGTAATCTGTTTTGTAGGGAATATACCATTTAGGAGGATATGCTCCACTGAAAAATACTGCCTTTATTTCAGTTGCCAATGTGAACTGTAACGAGCCAGGGTTGTTCGCCTCTTCTGCAGACGAGGTTTTTTGCTTTACTGTTTCAGTTTAGTTGTGGGTAGTGACTCACTCCCAACCATGGAGGCTTCCTTTAAGGAAAACCTCACTTCTGTGAAAAAGTGCAGGACAAATCTGGGTTTTATTAGGTCACTAATGCCAGGTCTAATTTTCCAGAATGCTAGCATAACAATCTTCTAGGAGAACAATATAGCAAATAGTCTGGGCTGGAAAATTGATTAAGAGGAGATGCTGTACGGAAGGACCACTCGGAACATTCCTCACTGTATCAAGTTTATTCTTGGTATTATTTCTGTTATGTCTTTCAAGAGAATAGAACTATCTTCCATATTTAGAAATAAATAAATAAATAAATAAATCATGTCAGCTTGGTCCCAAGAGCAAAAGCTGGTGTTGGACCTTCTTCTCTAAAAGGGCTTGGTGATAGAAGAATTTAAACAGCTTGCCTTAGGCTACCACAACTGTATTGTGAGCATGTTTGCAGTTTTCTTGCTGTCATTGCAGTAACTCATGTATTGAATTTATGAGTGAGAATCAAACCGGGTGAGGCGTGTGGTCTGTGAATCTTACAGGACTGACTTCTATAGAATGACCCAAAGGCAGAATAAAATGACACTGATATAGGACTCTGGCATGTCTTCCCTATGGATGTTTGAGAGCAAAATATCTGTTTAAGCCCCTACATGTCTCTACAGTGTCTCTTGCTTTGGATCTGTTCGATAGAAGTCTTTTGCTGCAGCTCTATTATTTGACTCTTCAGTTCATCTACCTCATTAATGGCTTTGTTCTGGGAATTCAATATAGCTCCCATCCCTTCCATAATAGCAAAATTTGCATTTAAAAGAGCATAAATAACTTGTGGAATTTCTAGTATGAATGACATGGGAAATACTTCAGAATGACATTAATGAGCATCTTACCTGCCTTTTGCAGGACTTTCTTCTTCAGTCTTTGGCTACATTTAGCTCTTCCTCCATTTCTTTTTTTTCATTATACATTTTGATCTGAGAATTAAGCTATATTTCCAAATCTCATGAATGAGATTTGGAAAATCTCCAAAAAATATGCATGACATTACTCTTCTGTATATTACTTATGTTCTTTTTCTTGTCTTCTGCAGTAAATGGTCATTTTCTTTCTCAGTGCAATTCAATGATATAAATCTGTTGCCTACAGAGCTAATTTAAAAGACTCTTTTTCTCTTCTGTGTTAAATTATCCCTGGCCATAATTAATGTTCTATTTCAGGGGCTCTAGTCTCAGTCTCCAAGAGCACTGCAACACCGACCTGGACAAAATTTCTATTTGTTCTTATATTAATGTTATCCGGATAAAGCCTTGTGGGTCAAACCCAACTCCTATCTGACGTTGTCTATAACTGAAAACTTCAAGGTAAGCTTGCTTTACTTTTACTTCTGCCATATTCCAAAATTCTTCTAAAGCTAGAATGCATGGATCAGACTTTTTGAAAATGGCTTGTCATCCTTTACATGCTCTATTTCATAGTAATACATATAGTAATAACAAATGTACTCATCTAAAGGTGAAATGTTTCATCTAAGGGTCTCTAACCACTTGGCAAACACCAAGGAAAAAAGAAAATTAATCTTGCTTAAATACCAGCCCTTTTATCTCTCATGCATATTAATAGCTTTTCTTGATAGTGTTACTAATGATCAGAGCTATTAATGATTAAAGAAATGTTTATCCTTTCCTGTTGGTCATTGTCCATGGAATTATGAAAAAAAATGTAATATTTAATGATGGCATCAAAAGAAGAAGCTTTTTGCTTTTTAATTAGAAAAGCATAGAAAAATACCTGACTTCTTATTTCCTCCAGATTTAATCCAGTCTGAGAGCATCTCTTTAAAGAGTCAAGGTAATATTTTCAGCTGGAGTGTAAACCAGCATCATTCCACTGATTCTGAGGATCTAAATTTTATAATAGTTGAACATATGTCCCTCAGAAAACAATTTTAATTTTAGTCTATCTGACACTGAATTCAGAAACTATATTTCTAAAGAGACAACATTGTTATTTCCACTTTCTATTTTCTTTTAAACTGTATAATCCCCAAAACACTGCATTTCTCACATGATAAAGTAGAAACAGTAAATTAACCTGCAGGAATTTCCATGCACCCATCCTTCATTTCTCCTGAATCCAAGACAAAGAACCCACAAGAAATCAGGTTTTACTTTTCCCTCTCCCCATCACCTCCATACAGCCGGGATACTTTTCCTTATAGAAACATATTTTACAGACTTCCCCCAGGCAGAGAAGAGGGGGCTTATCTGCATCTCTGCCATGGAGTCCGCAGGCTACAGACCAATGCAGGGAGAGAGCAGTGCCTGGGTGGTGCTGGGGACAACATGTTCAATTCTGGGGACAGATCTAAGGTGAGCTTATGTGATAGGAAGGAGCTATGGTGTCATATGGACATATAGGGACACGGAACTCGGCTGAGTGTGGAGCATGGCTGGGTGCTTCAGCTTCAGCACAGCTCCCCAGTGTCTCCCCATTGATGACCTTATGTCATGTCCTTATGTACCACATGCACCTGATTGGCAGGTTGCCCGTGACCTGCCAGCGCTGACAGCAGTGCCTGGCACATGATGTACTGCAAATGTATGAGCTAAAGCACCAAGTAAGGCCTGACTGACTCAGCGCACCCCCACGATTTGGCACACAAAGCTTCACGTTTACAGGACACTGCTGAATGGCACTTGCTATGAGCTACTGCTCTCAGAATCATGCAAGATAAAGCACTTGATTTCTAACCCTCCAGCTCACTGCCTGGCCTCTTACCTGACCCTGATTTCATCAGTGCACGGAGAGGTGAGATCCACAGCGCAGAAAGACACCTACCCTGTGCACACCCTCTGCTACCATTAGTGCCTGCTTACTGTTCTCTTTAGTTCCGTGCAGAAAAAGCTTTACCTCCTTCAGGGAATAGGAAGTCTACTGTTCAAAGAGTTCTCCTAATGAGTTACTAATCAGCTTAACTCAGTCTTTAAAAACTCCCCAGTGCTATATTCTTCCTTTTTCTCTTCTAAGCCTCTTAAACTGTTTTAGTTCTTACAAAGCATTTGACTTGAGCAATTAAAAGACCTTCCCCCCTGAATTTTATAGAAGTGATAATTTGTACTTTACTAGGCACAGATAGGGATCACAATTTCATACCCTACCTGTACTCTTTCTTTCATCTTCTGAGAGTGTTTCTTCCTCTCATTTACCTTCCAGGCTTTCTCCTCCATGTCTACCTCCAGTTTCTTTACCTGCTGCAGCAAAAAAACTTCCTGAGCCTCTAAGCTCTTCCTTTGCTCCAATTCTCTTTGTTGACAATTCTTCTGCTGCTCTGCCATGGATTGCTGCATAGCTTTTTGTAAAGTCTCTTTTTCTGTCTCATAGGAGCCTTGCAGTTGGCTGGTTTTCTGTGTACACTCTTCTGTGACTCTCTGGTTCTCACTCTTCAGGCTTTCCATCTCGTTAATCAGAGCTTGTCCTTCCACACTGTGTTTTTCATCTAAAATCTCTCGTGTATCCGAGTTCTCCCTGGTTGCTTTGCATTCATCTAACAGGCCCTCATGCTGCTGATATAAATGTAAGAGTTTATTTTCAAAGTCTGCATTGGTATCCACTGTGTCTGTGGAAAGGATCATCTCTGCTTGTTTTACATCGATTCTCAGCTCTTTTTCTTTCAGCTGCTTCTTGAACAGGGTTAACTCTGCTAGGGCTTCTTCTTTTAGTCTCTTGTGTTGGTCTACTGCATCTTCAAGGACTTGGATACGCTTTCTAAGCAACTGTTCTTCTTCAGCTTTGCATTTATACTGCAGGATTGTTTTCCTTGTCTCAGCACGAATGTGCTGAATTTCTTCTTCATGTGCATCTTTCAGAGCCTGTATATTAGCCTCATGTTCATCATTCTTAGTGTTCAGAGCATATATCACCTATAATTCAAGAAAAAGAATGGGAAATTATAGTGTCTGATAACTGGTGGCATTAAGAATTTAGGAATTTATCAAGGTCTTAAATGCTTTATTAGGAGAATTATTACAGTTAAATTTTGTTGCCTTTTTTTTTCTCCAATAGCAACATATGGGACAATTATAAATTGCAAAACCTTACAGAGAAAGAGGACACTGTGAGAAGCATATTCTTTTCAGATTTTCTCAGCAATTTCTGTTTTTACTTCTGGCAAATCATTGCTTCATACACCTAGTCTGACCTCTGAATACCAGGAACAAAATGCTACCTTTTGTAGCTGCCAGACTCCCTCTGTATTTAGGCTTCAGTGCAGCAGCACCATCTGCCACTTGGCCTTTAGCAAGGGATGAGCAGAGGTAAATCTGTAGAACGAAACCTGAGATCCTGAGGACCTGACACCCCGCTCACATGGACCAAAATCACTCTGATTGGTGATGTGAATGAAAGCAAAGTTCATAAGAAGGGTAAAACTGTGCACTCCTGACTGGAGCTAAAACACCACTGAGGAGGCACCATTAGGTGCACCCCAACTGCAGGGCAGGTGAGTCAGGTTTTGGTCAGTATTTCGTGATAGCTGCTGCTCCAGTGAAAGCCCCTTTTGAGTGGGTTCAAATAAAGCTTTCTAATGCACTTCTGTAATGCCTATTTATCATCGAGATTCAGCTTTAGTGGATTCGGGGAGAGCCTCTGTGACAACAAGCAACTTTTTAAAACAATGAGCCTGAACTTTTTGAAATTTAATAAAATGCGTAATAATAATAATTCTCATGACTTTCATAGAAATTATAACCCCAAGAAGCCTTCAGTCAGTACTGATGCCCTCTCACAGAAGCTGCTGTACAAGCACACATTACTATCATCAAGAAAGCTCACCGTAGCCCACAATGAAGGACTCATGGTCTAAACCAGTACAGGTCCATGCTGAACTACAAGGCAGTTATATAGAACTCCAAAAATAGAACTTGCCTTGATATGGTGCCTAATCCAGTTTCTATTAAGGTCAGTGGGTATGGAAGCAGGATTAGTTTGTAACTACTTTTTATATAAAATATATCTTTATTTTTATTTCATATTATTACATATGTTCAAGCCATTCATACCATCAACCCTAGTAAGTCTTAAGCAGTAATTTTTGTGCATTCAAAATCTCCTGTGATGTTTTAAGCTATCTATCCGTGTATATATGGACAGATTTATTGGTGTAACTAGATACCAGAAAGGGCCAAGCAAGATGAATTTGCTAGCGGGTAATCTTTTTCACAGATAGCTCAAAATTAACACTGAACTGTGCATCTGCCAACACACATAAGAGAAACTGATATATAGATATTTTCCATCCATTTTCTCTAAAAGATAGGGCTATCCTTTATGATACAAGACATCTTTTCAGACCAGGTCACTTAGGGTATTACTGAATCCCCGACAGTCTTTCCATTAATCACATTCATACGAAATTGTAGTATGAAAGGACATAGGTATCTAATTCAAGAACAATAATACTCCGATCATTAACTTATACATGGAGGTTTTCCTCCACTCCCCCCCCCCCATATAGCTTATCCTTCTACAAAAGCAGGTCTGGAAATTACATAAAACCTACAACAGCTATTATGAGCAGGGCCTGAGTCCAGAGAGGTTAATGGAAACATTCTTAGACATTATTTGAGAAAACAATAGTCTTAAATATATAAACCTAGAAAGGAGATTACAGCCAATGTTTTGATTTTACTAGAATTCAGTCCTTCCTCAGGGAAGGTCTCAATTAAGAGACCAACAAGCCTAAAACCACACTTAAATGTCACAAGTCTGCAGCCTGCTACTCCCTCAGGATGTCTTCAGAGTCCTTGAGTTTGCTCAGCTACATCTACGCTATTTATGTACTGAGCAACATATTGAATTTCAGTCATCCATAAATAAAAGCAAACACAGAAATACATCTTGCATAAACTCCACTCCAATCCTGGTAGTAATGAAACAGATATAGAAGCCTTGAAGAGCTCACAAATGCGGAACAGTCTGGGTAGGCTCGTGGATTAATACATGAAAGAGAATAACATCATCATGTTCCAGAAGACACAAAGTGTACATTTAGATTTGTATATACTTTGGACTCAGATTACATCCTGATAACTATCCTCTGTTATTTTTAACTATTTTTCTTTTGAACAGAGATAGTTTCAGGATACTAAGTGGATTCCCTCTCTCCAAAAATTCTAACTCAGATCATTCTGTGATCCCCCTTTAAATATTCATGCCATAAAAATAGTCATAAAAACTACAAGGAGAAGGATTAATTTTCCCTATAGGCTTGGAATGGGCAATCATTAGTTTAGGCAACACTTCAGTTCGCTGGGTCCAATGATACCGACAAAATCTCTTTGTTTCATACCATTAACAAGATGCAAATACATTAGTAGAACTTAGCAGAACTAGTAGGCTTTCATGATTCAAAAATTTCCACTCTTGATGAATTTATCTAGTGTATCAGCACTGCCTGTCTTGCGTTATGTTGTACCCAGTCTGCCAGTGGAAACTGCGAGCGTCTCAACTCTGACTTCACTATAGATAGGAACTTCTCAAATTGCACTGATCATTAGACTGCACTGCAGAGCCTCTACGTTAATAGTTATCACCAAATTCTTAGGTGAGTTATCTACAGTACTTGCAGAAACTCACTTCCCTGCTCTGCCAATTATTCCTGTGCTTTCATTCAACAGTAGGTAGAACCACAATGAAGAATTTTGACTTGAAAATGCAAGTTCTTAATCTTCAGACTTGACTGCTGAATTTGATTCCTCAGTAAAAGTCTCAAGAGATTTACTTTTCAAAGGATTTCTGCTCACTGCCCCTAAAATTTAGGTCCCTCATGCATTCCTTATATAATATAAACCTCCAGGGCTACAATATTCCTATCCCAAGTACTTCATTTAAAAGACTTAAGAAGTCATGTGAAATTAGTCTGGGACTTTACCTGCTTTCTGCTGGAAGGAAAAACACTGAAAAGCAATTTCAGGCCCTGTACCTTGTGGAGTATATATTTTGCTGGATAACATGGTATAAACCTCTCCCCTGTTGTGCTCATAAAAGGCTTTTTAAAAGCAGCTCTAAAACTGCTTTTTAGCAACTTGCAAACTCAAAACTGTTGAACAGCACAGAGAGCTGCCTTAATATGAAGGAAGTGATATCACTGCTTGAGTTATTCAGCACAACACGCTGGTTCCTGCCTCCTTAGAGCTCTCCTGAGCTCTATGTGCATTTGGGAACACACTGATTTTCCAGCAGCTGAACTGTATGGCAGGTCGGCAGAAACACTGTTGCACAGCACGCACTGGGGAATTAGCAGTGCTGTGAATATGAATACATTGTCTCAGTCCTGTTTTATCTTCTCAGTGCCCTAAATCTAAATGGTATCTTATTTCCTTCCAGCTTTTTCATGGTGATGCAAAATAACAAAACAAACAAGCAAACAAAAATTGAACCTGGTCAATGAAGACAAACCTAAAGGATTCACCCTGAAAAAGACTGATCTGCTTTCTAGCAGCGGATTTAACCAACTCTGTTCTTGCCATTATGAACAAACTGCTCTAGCAAGTTGCTTCATTGGCTGAATAAGAACTGAGGCTACGGAGCCTCAGTACGGAGAGGAATGTTGCTGATAAAAAGAATCGGAAAAAAGCAAAAAACTTCTTCTTCCAGGCCCGGGCTAGTGGGCAGATGTAATGAATCAAATCCTTCCTGATGAAGAAAGGGCTAAAAGAAACACCATGAGAACAGGCCCTCACTCCATGGGATAACTAACAGGAAAAAGAAGGGAGTGATAGTGCAGACTTCAGACTAAGCCAAAAGCCTCTGGAGGGGGGCGCTGAGCAGGGTACACCCGAGAGCACCCTAAGCAAAGCAGGGGAGGTGACGGGTCCCCCTTGCTAACTACTTGCTACAGGTGACAGAGACCAGGGGGCCACTCACCGCTGTTTTACTGGTAGCAGTAGTATCTCACCCTCGGGAGCAGCCGAGTTTGTTTCTAGGAACTTTATACACTTCCAAAGGAAGCACGAGAAATGGTCTGCCTTGAAATGGTCTCTTTTAAGAGAAATGACAACAAAATTACGAGGAGAAAACTCACTTTGTGACAGAAATGGCTGTGTATACACTACTCTCCTCTGTTACCATAACTATACACACTAGAAAATAAAACCGGCTCGCACAATTGTCAAATTAATACTCTAGTAAGAACTCACAGGGATACCTTGTCCGTTCTAACTCTGAAGAAGGGACAGACTGTCTAGGCAATGGTTAGCTATGGTGCCAAGTCAGATTTACAACAGGGCCCCTATGCTTCATTTAACTGAATGATAATATATGAACTGTAATATATGGTTAGCGACCTTAAGAAAAGCCTCAAATCTTCCCTTGGGTCTTTTAGCTAGGGCTTCCTGAAAGCACAAGAAAAAAAAAATGCACTCAGGTAGTTCCAATGACTACTCATGCTACCCATTTACGTGCTTGTATGACAGAATATCGTCACCCCAAGTATTCAGAAATGTTTCAGAACCTAAAATTAAAACTAAAGAATATCTTTAACATCACAAAAAGTTTTGTATTTTATGTATTATTAAATAGCTTTTTTATTTGGCTTATGTTTTTAGTCTTCTAAAATAGAAGGTTGCAGCACCTCACAAAAGCACCAACTAAAGAAACTTATTTTCCTTTGAAGTAAAAGTTCAGCTCTGGTTTGAACAACTTTGTTTTCAAAAGCTGGAGTTGTAAAGAAGAACATCCAATATTCATTCTGTGAGTCTTCAGACCGCATATGTTATTACCATATCACTAAAGATAAAAATGCTATAAAACACAATTCTTTTGGTAAGAAATACCAAGTTCAGGGCTCACTCATCCCTGTGCACTAAAGATACCTTGAATCAACACAAATCATAATGATATTGCCTTTCACTTATAAAACAAA